CTCTGACTGCCGACCAATAACAGACCAATCACATATTAAATCAGTCTTATTGTGATTGGTCCATTGCGCTAGAGCAGTAGCAACACTATGGGCGAGTTCAAGACTGCAAAGCGGCTAGGCATGCTTATCGAGCGATTGAATATGATTGGTTGGATCTATAAGTAATAACCAATTACGTTCATTTGCTCGGTGAGCAGGCTAGCCGCTTTGTCAACTTGAACGCGCCCATTGTGTACTGTTATGTTGAGGATATAATAGCTTGAGGATATAAAGAGACGTCTGCGAGTAAAGAGGGTCTTCAGTCATCTGTATTCGATATTTTGCTCACTACTACATCGATATTAACATATATTTTTTAAATATTTTGCTAGGTCACTGTGTGACTCGAAAACTTCATTAAATATGAAAAATTAAGCATTCCTTAATTTTCTAAGTTTATCTGTTAAACTCTAATTATTATTTCGTACAGTGATTATATCGTAAAAAAAATAAGTGTAATACGCAAAATTCAGTAAATTTATAATATTGTTAAATATTGATTAAGCATTATATAATAATAAAATAAGTGTTAATAGATTACACTGATTTTCTTAATAACGTAATGGTTTGATAAATTTAACAACATTTATGAATGTGCTAAACACTATAATGATCCAATCGTGTGTACTAAAGTTAGTTTCAATAGATGAGACAGATAAATTTAATGAATATTATACATAACACATTTTATTTAAATTAATTTTTGTACTTGATTTGCATCCGGACAAGGATCGCAATTAGTTTTACATAATTCGACATTACATTCAATGAACAGATCCATAACGTCAGGGAATTTGAAAGCTTGGAAGAATGCATAAGCGATAATGGAAGTGCCTGTATTGCCGGTATCATTTGTTTTTTGGAAGGTACCAAACAATTTCGGTTTCAGAATGCAGCCTCTTTCGTCGGTGAGCTGCAATATATTGGTTGAGGCTTTGTCTCGCGCCACACAGTCACGCACCTTAAAAGTAATTTCATTCATATTTTATATTTGCAATCAGGCCTAGACAAAATTTATTATTTTAGAAATGAAAGTAGATCAGCGACGAGAAAGTTAGCTTGTAATTATTTCTTGCGTATTTATGAATAAATAGCATATATTTACATTGTTCTATTTCTTATATATAAGATGGATCTCGATGCGTACCTGAAGATCGAAACCAGGATCGCCCTTCACGGAAACTACTAAGGTCATGGTTTCTCCGATCTTTACGAGTCCATCGACTGTAGGTGCAAAGGGTCCTTTACCGATTTGAATATCCAATTTGACTGTCGCAGTATCGCCACTAAAAGTAACGATCTCTTGATTCAACATATCTATTGAGAGATTCACCGTTAAAGCCTTATTAATATTTCCTTCCCAAAGACATCGTATTCTTCGAATTGTATCCCATACTTCTTGTATACCTGGTTCATTCTGGTTTTTAGGAATAAAAGTTTTTTATATTTAAATCTAATAATTATATTCGATTCTTTTTGTATGAGCTAAGTGTTACTAATATAAAATTTGAAGAAAATAAAAAGTAAAACTAATAAAAATTAGGTTGACACCAACTTGTAATACAAGAACGGTTTCCAAATATGCTTGTCCATTCGCACCCTTGAAATCGTTAATGAATTGAGTTCCGCAAGAGTCTAAATTTACAGTAAAAGAGTACCGTGTTGAGCCGGAATTCTCTTTTACGTATATACATTCCGGATTTGCATAATATCCCTGAAATTGAACAAAATCAATATATTATCGATAATTTGTGATAATTTGTAGCAAAAGATTGTTTTGTTTCACGCTTACTTTAGAATAAATAACGCCGTTGAAAGCGCGATTGAATTCAATATGGATCGTCATCATTGTCTTACTACATTCGACATCAAGACTATGGATATGCGGAGGATGACTGAGATCATCCTCAGTTTGAGTAGTTTCTGAAAAATAAAATCAAATTATTTTTTCATATATTTTGCATTTATGTTACACTGACTGTAACAAACAATGCGTACCTCCAGTTCCAGTTTCAGTAGTTCGAGGGCCTTCCGCTGTTTCAACTTCATCAGTAACAGCACCTGTTCCAGTTTCAGTTGTTGTAATAAAGGGAGGGAAGCTCCTCTCTGCAGCTTTAGGATGTTAAAATTGCAAATTAATTTTTTATGTCCTCGTTTTTATATTATACTGACTGTAGCAAAAGATAGATATATAGATAACGTACACATTGTTATATCCAGCGTATTCAGACCAGTACCAAAACCATCACTTTTGATAAAATCGTCAGGAAGAGTAGTTTTAGTTGAGTTAAAGTAGTTTGTAGATAAGATACGTGGGGAATATCCACCAATGCCGTCGATTCCACCTGTATGTCCACCCAATTGCTTGCTAGTCCTGGACACGGAACGAAGCGGTCTTGCACTAGTCGATGAAAAAAGTGGAGATTGTGGCGGTAAATGAGTGAACGATGATTTCGGGATATTTAGAGGCGAAAAAGTCGTTGAGTGCTGATTTAACTTAGGATTATATGATGTAAAAGCTACAAAACTTTGCGGCACACACATGGAGTATTGTTGGCTACTTGATCTTGGGATAGAATATGTTTTAGAGAAAAATTGCTCGCAAGCTAGGTAACTTATCTTCGGCGGAGTAAGAAACAGTGACGGTCGCTGGACGCGATAATTCGTTATGTCATTCTGTCGAGAGTTTATTCCCGCCTGGAAGGTTTGAGATCTTTGGAGCGATTGTTGCATATTAAAGATCGGCCAGGATGTACTAGAATCTGATTGGGGACGAACTGTAAAAATATGAATATTTTTCTTATCAAAAGTAAAAATCCATCTTAATGATGTGAATATAAGGACAGTATCACAATAAAATTGCAAATACGCAGTATATACTATATATATATCTTTATATTTATTATTGTAAATTACTTTGTAAACTTTATATCATGCATTTAAACTTTAAATGCATGGTCTAAAGTTTACAAAGTAATTTACAATAATTTAAACAGTAAGATGTTTCTATTCAGATATTAGTATTATGCAATTTTATTTACCATTTATAATACATAAGTTAAGAATATTAAATAAATTAGAGTGATTTTACATTTTTGAGACTTATTAATGATAAAACAAAATTGGAAAATGATTTCGTAATCGAAAATTGCCAAAAATATGTTTATAATAGTTTTCATTGAATCTGTTGAAAGATAATGTTATCGAAATCTATGAACATCGATCATTTTTATATTTATTTATTAACTTTTCTGAATATTAATTAAAAACAGATTTAAAACATGAAAAACGGAAAGTATAATCTCACAAAGATTAATTGAGAATACATTGACTTAATAATAATGCTTTATGAGAAAAAATGATTTGTCTGCAGAATAAGCGTATATCAAAGCCAGTGTTAGGCAGTATAGCAACTTGTAACTATGTCTTCCACGATAAAATTGATTATTTACGGTCAATTAATAATAATAATTTTATGCTTAAATTGACGCGACGGCAGTGGCTGTACATAATAGCAGCTTTTTCTCTGAAATTGCAATATACATCTGAGATGCGATAGTTTATTAAACTTTTAAACGTGATTGATTAGTAAACTTTAAATTGTTTATGATCAAATTTATATAATTAATATTATAACAGTCATACTATCTCTCTTTTTTTTTTATTGCGTTTAAGAAAAATTTTTTATTCTTACCGGAATTTGTATTTGCGTTTCTCGCAAAGATTGCGCCATCGCCGAAATCGTGGCTGCATATTACTGCACTTGAAAGAGCAATGACAACAATCGCTGCAATGAACATCATCCTTAAAATGTAAATTTAATTTTAATTAATGATTGAATTCTTTTATTTTTTTATCTCTCTCTCTCTCTCAGCAAACACGCACGCACGCGCACACACACAGTGTCAATAGTCTCGCACGATTTCGGACGAAATTTTTCCACAGAATAATCGTCTCGCGCGAAATCGAATTTAATGTTATAAAAGTCAAGTGCCATCGACAACTGAGAATAGGAAGCTACATCAAAGTATGATGAGTCTTGGATGCGGTAGATTGGTCTTCTCGTCAAAAGTAAATAACTGAAATTGCAATTTTCGACATTTGTCACTATACAAACGAGATGACTTTTAATGAAATGAGGAATAATAGTGTGTGAGTATTGTAATTTTTTTTCAGGTTTGAATTTGTGTATTTTGGATTAATTAATGTACGTGAAAATTATGTAACACGTAAAATACACAAAAGATGTCTACTTTACCTCGACCATTGTAAATTTTGAAAGCATCATTGCTGGAGAATACATAGTGGTTTTGTAATTGGTCTGTAATTGGCGGAGTAACCAAGGTTTTTTAGTAGAAAAAAAGGAAAGAACCGCACGCAATTATTTCAACAGATCTTGAGCGGAAAATTTAGTGTTAGTAATGGCATTTTTTCTTTAATCTTAGGCTATCATTAAAAATTTTCTTTGAATTTATGTCGGGACTGTTTCTGTTACTATATATTCATTTCAGTTTTGATATATAGATATTCATTAACATATTTTCTTAAACGGATTATATATGCTGCATAATTATACTTTATTATCTGAAATGTTTCATCATATCAGATCTAAGGATTATTAATTTATAGATACATTCACGAGTATACTTAATCTCATATTTCTAATCATTTAGATGTTATTTTCTTTTTTATACAGGTTTCTTTTAACACGTTATAATCTTCATAAACATTAAAGTTCGGAATCATTGTAAATCTTCCATTAAATACGTATTTTTCGTATACTTGTCGCGCTTTCCTAAGATTTCAAGCGAAACAAATAGATGTAGTTATGACAGATAAAAATTTGTGAAAAACCATAATGATTATGAAAAGAGCATATATGTAAAATTGGTAAAATATGTAGAATTATATGTGTTTTGTTAGTTATTTTTCATTTAATAAACTTTCCGACGTTAAACATTTAAATAAGCATCTAAATATGCATTATTATATTTTTAAAATTATTTCTAAACAAAGTTGAAATCTTACAGTAACTCAGGTTACTCTTCATTAATCCGATGTATTTGCGACAAGCGCGAGAAAGCACCATGCATCTTTGGCTTAGTTTATGTCACTGATCCGTTAGTGAAATCGAATCATCGTACTACCTTTAGTTTCCTGTATTGATCCGATCTTTCATCGGAATAATAAGGTAAAAAATTGAAAAGTTAACGGTGGAACATGAAAAGTGAAAGTTGCACTGCGCCAAGCTAGAGGAATGTGTAGATATATAGTGAGTATATGCTTACTTTTACATGTATTTATGTTAAAACCGTGTATATATGTATGCATAATTGTGAAATCTGACATTTATATATTGTTCGCTAAATTCAATATAAATTCATGCATTTTTCTTCTCTCATACGTTTATTTATTTCAATACAGTAAAAAACACACAAATTATGTATTCTAAGAATAAAATAGTAAAGTGTATATCTATGTCGTATGATATAAAAAAGTAATAAATGAGAAATTTTTAATATTTTATTTAAAATACGGAATATACGTGGGAGGTTCAAGTCAAATCGGGACTTTTATTCTCATGAACATAGAATAAAAAAGTCCCAGGTTGACTTGAACCATCCACGTATATTAGTTTGTAAACATGTATTACTTTTTTAATTTAAACATATGTATGTATATATATATGTTTAAATTGTGTGTGTGTATTCATTTTCATTTCAAAAAGATTACAAATAACGTCAGCTTGTTTATCGAATATATACAAATAATAAAATGTATGTGTTTAATAAATATTACATTTTGAGACTCACGTGTAAATAAAATAATTCCTTTCATGGAAAATGACTGGCACAACATACAAATAATTGATAGCTGAAGTTAATTTTAATGGCTAAAAATTTGAGTTGTACGTGCATTCGAAAAAGGTAAGAATGAATATAGAAAGCATCTTCATTTCAGCTTTATATAAGTATTATTCTCTAGACGGACTGCAAAAAAGCGTGCCATCACTCTGATTGTCTGTCGTAATTTTATCATCAGCGAGATGAAAAAAGTGCTTGCTGATGAAATTGCATTAGACATGAATATTTTACATTCAAAGTTTTACATAAAAAATTACACTTCAATCCATTTTCGTTACTAAATTCATTGTAAAAAGAATTATGTCATTTTTGTTCATATTGCTTCTATTATGAGATATTTAATATTCAGGGTATTTGATAAGTAACGATAAAACTCTTGCATAGAGCGGACTAAAGTCTGACTTAAACTGAGTCGAAAAGTCCTCCACCATACTTTTTAGTACTGCATTTTTTGGCAACTATTTTTACCAACATGAGAAAATGCGGTAGTAAAAAATTCTGAAAAAATTCTCAGAACTCTATGAGAAGAAAATAAATGATTTTTCACTTTCTGTTTTTCTGTAAAGTTGATAATACTTGAGTAAAAAATTATTGAAAACCAATATTCGACGATTATACTGCGTATAACAATCAAGTAGACTAAAATATTATATATATACTTACAGGAGAATCTCACGAAGTGTCAAATTCTGATTTTAACTTCGTATACACATAAGTTATGTAGACGAATTTAGGAAATACCAGTTGCGACCCAAAAACGATTTTAAGAGGTAAAATCACCTCATGTATAAAGTGGTTTTCATCTTTTTTCGTTATATCTCAAAAACTTAAGATATCAAAAAATGTTTTACACAAAAATTTTATAATAAAAATATCTCTATCTCTATTCATCTACGTCAATATTTTTGAAAAATAATTATTTAAAAAAATCTTCGGAAATTTTAAAAAATAATTATTTTACAACGAATAGAGATAATTTTATTGTAAAACTTTTTTATAAAACATTTTTTATACAAAATTGCCTGTCTCGGTCCTACTATTGTTAAAAATCGTAATTTTTCCTTTCAAAATTTTGAAAATAAAAATTTCCATTCTCGATATATCTCGAAACAAGAGCGAACCAGTCACTGATCATTCGAGATTCATGGGTGCGTCTTCACTGTTTCTAACCTTCCGCACCTAACCTCATTCCGTGTGATATACGTCGTATTACGGTTGCAACATGGACGTGGACACAGCGAGTGACAATACATCGATCGATGACAAGATAGATGACTTTTGCGAAAATCCCACGCGGGATGCATTAACGGAGGGTCTCATGAGCCTTCTGAAACCTACAGTGGATCAATTGGATGATAGAATTCGTGCTACAAGGTACCCACAATTTTCCCGTTGCGATTCGTTGCAGGGCGTATGTACAAACGAATAATAATAAACTTTTCTTCGATGTCGCGGTCGAACTTTGTATGCTTGTTTCTTCAACATCTTTGTAGGATAGAGTCCACTTTCCTTTTAGGCACACTCGACACAACTGTCATTTTATCTCTTCCTTTTTATCTCTTTGCCACTGTTATTGAATGTCAAAAAGGATAACAACGTCTATGTCGACCGTATCTCTCAACCCTTCGTGAACTAGATGGGGTGTGATATACCCCAGCAAGAATTTCTATAACTTCTTAACAAGTACCGCGCGTATGTGTTGCCGATTTCGTGCAACTGGAGAGTGCATTGTAACCAATCATACTAAATTATAGTATATTTATAATGAAGTATAACATGGGGTATGAGATATATCCATATTTTGATCCATGTTGATTTTCCACCTGGTTCACGTAGGATTAAAAGAAAAGTAGTCATAATATCAAATGAAATAATGTTTATCTTTATCGTTCATTCGATACATTATGTTGCATGCAAAAATCAAGGGTTTAATTGATTTGCATACGATTATTTTTTGTAGAATATGTCAAATTGAGCTAAAGCAACGGATTGAATCTTTAACAGAGGAACTTCAAAAAATCAACGAAGCGTTGGAATATCCGTTGGACACAGATTCTTATGTAAAAAAACTAGTTAACGCTAAACATAAGATTACCATTGTTAGCAACATTCTGCAAAGTACCCAAGAGTGCTTGAATAAGGTGCATCAAGCTGTCGAGAAGAGTACTGCCAAACGAAAAACACTACTGGATAATAGTTCTGCATATAACAGCACAAGTATCGAAGCTGATAAAGAAGAGCCAGCTACAGCAGAGACTGACAAGCAGCAATAATTTCCGATATTAAATCTATGATCGATAAGATATGACCAAATTGTTACTAAATGATTATTTATAAGTTTTACAAGATTTTATTACATTTTTTCTTATGAATTATGGAGACCCCAATAGTTAAACTGTCTGATGAGGAGCTCAATACAGTTTATGAACCTTCTGAGGATTCATATCTTTTGGTGGATGCTTTGGAGGCAGATTTAGAGATTCTGTATGCGATGAAGCCAAGGATTTGTTTAGAGATAGGTAGTGGCTCTGGCATAGTTATCACAGCTTTAGCAATGGCATTAAAAAAACGTTATAACGTTCAGTTTATTGCGATTGATATAAATCCGGATGCATGTAGGGCCACGAGAAGAACTAGTCTGATTAACTCAGTCGATGTAGATGTCCTTCAAATGAACTTATTAGATTGCATACGAATTAAATATACATTTGACATTATTTTATTTAATCCTCCATATGTAGTTACAGAATATGATGAAGTAGTAGATGATAGACTCGTATTCAAAACGTGGGCAGGTGGTAAAAATGGTAGACAAGTTATGGAACAGGTATTTACTATTATTCCTGAAATCTTATCAGATGCGGGATTGTTTTATTTAGTTATTATAAAAGAAAATGATCCTGAATATATCTTGAGTGCTTTCAAAAAGTTAAATATGTCTGGTAAAATTGTTCATGAAAGGAAAGTAAGAGGAGAGCATTTGTATGTTTTACGTTTTCGTAAAATTAAGGAAACGAAAAGTTAGCATTACATGCCGGGGATATAACATCCATAAGATATTTTAAGATTTTAATTTTATTGTAAGAAAAAAGATATCATTTCAGTGATTGTATGCTATAAGTCTAATTATTATTTATGGTGATAAATTACAGATAAGTGAATTACATTTGAATCATGTTATATTACACTGTTTGTAGATAGTAACATTTATATTATTTGTAAATCATTGTTATGTATTATATAATTGCAATTAATATGTACAGGCATAACAATATACTGCGTAAAATAATAATTTAATTCCTTATCTATGTATACTTTTATTGTGTCTTCAGTAGTAATTGTTCGTTTAGGAAAGGAGATGACAAAAGAAAGCTAAAAGAAGAGATAATCTTTTTTACAAATATAATTTATTTTTAAGTACTTAAGATTTACATTATTATAATATTGAATTATCGCAATAAATACCATATTGTATTGGTATTCAAGCAAAATGAGCACTCTCGTCGTTTGAAGACTGTACGAGTAGTTTGTTAGATGTTTATAGATTGATGTATAAATATGGCTACTTTCTTATTCTGCTATCGAGCAGAATAAATTTTCTATGTTTGTGGATAAGAGTAACGTTTCATAAAAATTTAGTTATAAATATTTAAAAGCAATAAGTTGGAAGAATTTCTTTTCCTATTATTAATAACAGTTGTTTCAAAAGTTTTGGTATACATATTTACCTTCAGTAATTTTTTCGCGATTGAATGATTATAAAGCGATAAAGTAACATGTCTCTTATCATTTAAATTATTATTTGATTACTGGCACGCGTTCATTGTTTTCTACGCAACTTCTTTCTTGGTATTATTACGATAAAGATATTGTAAAAATAATACCGTCCTACGAATCCACAAATTTCGGTCTGCGAATTCGTTGTAACTTAATATATAACACAGCCGCGCTTATGGTCGCGACGAAGAGTGTGCTTAACATAAGAGAGAAGGTAGTGTAAAATCCGCTGTTGCTCATGCAAACCTCTTTCGCTTTTGTCATCGTCTCGACAGCCGTTTCCTCCATACTTTCCAGAATCTGACTGGATGCTGTACTTAAGTCGTCTAACATAATCACTTTGAAACGTCGCCCAACACGAACCGGATCTGATAACAGAACCGCATTCGACGAGTTGGTCGACGGTGGTGCATATGTTATCGAGCGGCGACGTCTTCCCGGCTCGATTTGCTAAAACAAATTATTTTATATATAATATGTGAGACAAATGTAAAGTTTTTTAGTATGATTTATTTCGTGAAATAAGGAATTTTGTATAAAATTTAGAATAATTTCGAATATTTTAAAATATTTTATAAATTATCAAAAGACAATTTTTTTCAGTCGTCGTAAGAAAGGATGAGTTTAAAATACATCATGTTTTAATTTCAATGGATGCGATAATTTTACCGAATTATATATAATATGTTATATTTGAATATTGATTTTGTGCCTTACTTGATTTGCTTCTGGACAAGGTTCGCAATTAGTTTTACATAGTTCGACATTACATTCGATGAACAGATCCATAACATCAGGGAATTTGAAGGCTTGGAAGAACGCATAAGCGATAATTGAAGCGCCTGTATTGCCGGTATCGTTTGTCTTTTGGAAGGCACCGAACAGTTTCGGTTTCAAAATGCAGCCTCTTTCGTCGGTGAGTTGCAGCATATTGGTTGAGGCTTCGTCTCGCGCCAAACAATCACGCACCTTGAGAGTAATTATAAATGATTGTTTAATTCATATTTCTTGTAACAAATCAAAATTCTATAATCTTAAAATGAAAGTAGTCGAAAAATATTATTTCTTGTTTATATATATATATATATATTCATGAATTAATATTATTACGTTTTTTAATGTTTTTTAATCTATACATTTTTTAATGTTGGAGCACGTAATTCTATTAATGAATTATCATTATGCATATAGATGGTTTTCAATACGTACCTGAAGATCGAAACCAGGATCGCCCTCTACGGAAACTACTAAAGTCATTGTTTCTCCGATCTTTACGAGACCATCGGCTGCAGATGCGAAAGGTCCTTTACCGATTTGAATATCCAGTTTAGCTGTCGCAGTATCGCCACTAAAGGTAACGATCTCCTGATTCAACATATCTACTGAGAGATTCACCGTTAGGGCCTTATTGATGTTCCCTTCCCAGAGACATCGTACTCTTCGAATTGTATCCCAGACTTCTTGTATACCCGGTTCATTCTTTAGCAATAAGAATTTTTTATTTCAAAGTCTAATAATTATTTTCAATCACATGTGATTTTTTACGAGCTAAATGTAACAAATAAAACCCGTGGAAAAGCAAGCTAATAAATTTAGTTAGTTCGACACCGACTTGTAATACGAGGACGTTTTCCAAATACGCTTGACCAGCTTCACCCTCGAAATCGTTGATGAACTGAGTTCCGCAGGATTCCAGATTCACCGTAAAAGAATATGTTGTTGTGCCGGAATTCTGTTTTACGTAGGTACATTCCGGATTCATGAAAAATCCCTGAAATTAGACAAAATCAATACATTATTATCGGTAATTTGTTGTGCAAAATATTGTTTTGTTTCACGCTTACCTTGGAATAAATAATGCCGTCGTAAGCGCGATTGAATTCGATATTGATCGTCATCATTGTCTTACTGCATTGGACATCGAGGCTGTGAATATGCGGCGGATGACTGAGATCATCAGTTTGAGTCTCTGAAAAATAAAATCAAATTATTTTTTCATATATTTTGCATTTATGTTACACTGACTGTAACAAACAAATGCGTACCTCCAGTTTCAGTAGTTCGAGGGCCTTCCCCTGTGGCAACTTCACCAGTAACAGCACCTGTTCCAGTTTCAGTTGGTGTAGTAAAGGGAGGGAACGGTCTCTGTGTAGTTGAATATCCCCCGCTCGAAGTGGGGTAACCAGAACTAGGATAACCTCTTGTCGGGGTTGGTCCTGAGGGTCCTGAGACTCCTAAAGAATACTCAGATAGCATAATGCTGGTAATCTCTGATTGATTTGGTGCGCGAAGTTCATTTTGTGCTGTATTACTTAATAGTATACTTAAAGATGCTTTTGCTATTTTCAGAAATTTGGATGCTTGAGTCTATACCAGTCTATACCCATGTACCTGCATCCAAGAGGGGCTTACCGATCGTGGATTCAGAAGGAGGTCTTGGACTGGTCGATGGGAAAAGCGGCGGCTGCGGCGGTAGGTAAGTGGACGACGATTCCGGAGGATTCAGTGGCGGAAAGGCTGACGAGCCCGCGTTGGAGTACGAAGGCTGACTCGGTCGGGGATTGTAGGACGTGGAGCCTCTGAAGCCTTGCGGCACGTACGTTGACGAAGGTTGTTGGCTCGGTCTTGGAGTAGAAAATGGCGTGGAAGGTTGCCCGGATGACGAGTAACCAATATTTGGCGGGGTGTACAGCGATGATGGTCGCTGAGGGGTATAGCCTGATATGTCACTCTGTTGAGAACTCACGGCCTGGAAAGGTCGGGGTTTTTCGGGCGGTCGTTGAGTGCTGTAGGGTGGCAAGTATGCATTCGAATCCGATTGCTGGCGAACTGTAAAAATACGTGAGCTCAAAAGTGAGACTCTTTTGTAATCCGTGAACACTACGATGGCATCGATAAAAAGTAGTGTAAAATACTGCGAAACTAATTTTTTAAAACGATCATGTGTATGAGACTTTCCTTACTTAAAATTTATTTGTTCTTCATTTACGATATAAATTAAATTATTATTGTACATAAATTAAAAACTCTATGGATTAAAGTTATCATATGTTTGTTATCATAGTTATGTTACTATTGACAAAATAGAATTGGAAAGTAGCTTTCATTCAAAGATTTCAAAAAATGTAATGATGATATTTGTTATTGAAATAGTCGATTCTGCCATCGCAGTCCATGAACTTCGATCAGTTTTATATATGTTCATCACTCTCTTTAAGTTTTAATTTAAAAAAAAAAACAAAAGGTAAAGGAAAGCGTAAGTTCTGAAGAGTTAATTAAGAGCATATTGACTTTAGTGTTATATAAAAGAGAACGATTTATTAAAAAAACATTCGATGGCTTTGATGGCATTTATTTATTAAGGTATTATGTAAATTATAAAAACTCTAGATTAAAGTTAATTGAAACTTACTATTGACTGGGAATTGTCATCCATAATATTAAAAAAAAATTATTTATATTTTACATTGAAGCTATCGATAATGCCATCGAAGTCCATGAATATCAATTTTAGTGTTGATCGGTCTCTTTGAATTTTAATTAAAGAAAACAAGAGAGTATATATTCTATTCTAAAGAGTTAATTAAGAGTGCATTGACTTAATGCTTTGTAAGAGAAAACGATTTAGTGTCAGTACGAATAAACGTGCATCAAAGCCAATCCCAGCGTCGAACATAAAGCTGATTCCGTGACTTCTAAATGTCACGTTAAAATGATTGATTAATAGCATAGCGTGTTTATGGATGAATGATTTTGTGCGTCTATAATATCTAAATTGGTGAGGCGGTATTGGCTGCGCATAGTCGCAGCTTTCTTTTGCGCAATACACATCCATAATAGCGTCCATCTCTGACCATCAGCGGCACTGAACTGTCTATAAATCAGCGCGCAACGTTAGACTGCAGCTAAATTCAATCGTCATGAGAGAATGTTCGTTAATATGCGCGTACGGCGACGAGGATGGCTTCGTGCCGTTTTCTGTCGACGACGACGAAACTCGGAAAACCTACTTTTACGTGTGCCCTGCTGGTAGATCCCTTGAATCCACTCTAGGATATTTTGCGCCATCACGTCTGCCGGCGATACCGAGGCAGCAGCCCGTTGGACTCTCGAGTGTGCTAATGAATTTTAAACCATTCGTTTGTGATCAATTTATCACCACAAAAATTATAGCGCCTCTCCCTCTCTCTCTATCTCTCTCTCTCTCTCTCCTTTGCTGATTGTGCTTAAGGCGGACTTATAGAATTCTCTCGCATTTTTCTTACCGGGATCCGCGTCTGCGGTTCTCACAAAGAGCGCGTGTCCGCCGAAGTCTTGGCCACACATCGCTGCACCCGAGAGAGCGACGACGAGAATCGCCGCGATGAGCCTCATCCTTGGCCTGTAAATTTTATTTCAGTTAATAACAGTATTTTTTTTCTCTCTCTCTTCACGCTATATTAATTATACTTTCAATTTCGATCGGAATTTCTTCAATAGAAATAATCGTCCCGCGCGAAACCGCTTTCGATGTTGCGAGGGTCAAGTGTCATTGACTCACGAGAATATGAAGGTTTACCCAAGGATGATGAGTCGCGGATGGCGGTAGGCCGGTCTCCTCGTCGAAAGTAGAAAGTGATCATTATGAAATCTATATGACCATGATCGCAGCTTTTGACAGTTGACGTCACCGTGCAAGCGGGATGACTTATTGCGAGAGGAGGCATGCGAGAGTGCGCGCGCGTGATTTCTCCTCAAGGTCTGGGTTTCCGTGTTCTGGGACGGTACATGAAAAATCATGTCGTCGATTATGAAAATCTGTTTACACGTTATATGTATCTATAGGTACATTTAAGCGCGCGTTTCTTCAAGGTCTCCACGCGCGTGTCGGAATGCGCGAATCGTACAAAGAGCGACTATCTTAGCCCGACCGTATCCATCGAGAATTTCGAAAGTAACATCGCCAAAGAATACCACTGGTTTTCTAATTGGACCATAATTGCCCGGTGGAATACCCAAGGTTCCGAATCGCGGACGCGAATGAAAACTCATCCTTCTCTTGCAAGGATTAAACAGGCAAGCATTATTTCGGCAACGCGATGACTGTACGGATAATTGTTTTGCTGGCAAGTTGCAGCTAGCTGGATGATCTCCAAGGTCCCAGAACATGGCGAAATTAATCGTTGTGGAAAGAAAAAAAAAGGAAGAAACCGCGTGCAATTATTTCAACAGAGTTTTAGTGGAAAATTTAGCGTGCGAGTATAATGGCGTTCGTTCCTTAATCTCGGATCGCGATCGCTAAATGTCCTTTAATTTAGAGCCGACGTCGTTTCCATTATTGTTCATCTCTTCTCACGTGCTGCAGCGTGTGTTAGCGGCGTGTTTCGTCAGGGCGGATTACGTGCGGTATAATCGCGCTGTCTTGTCTCACATGTCTCATAATTCCAGACCACCTTGTTAGTATAATTTATGACTACACTGCTCACGAACACTTAATCATGTATTTTTGGTCATTCAGATGTTGCTGCTTTTATTTATGTAGATAAGATGGCATTCTTTTTCTTTCATAGAGATTTTTATTAATATTACAACATTCGTTATTTTAATTTTAAATACGGGGTTTCCAGAGTTGGCAAACGTTACTTTTCACTTACTTTGTCGTTACTTTTTATAGTAAATAATTTGATGACGGTAACGCTAATTATCTAAACGCTAAGGTTGTACTAAAGTTAGAAAAGTCACTTTGAAAAGTAACCTGTTACTATTACGCGTTACACTGAAAAAGTTATAAGTATAACGTTACACGTAACGTTACTCGTTACTAAAAAGTAACGCGTTACAAATTAGGAGTTATTTTTTTCAGTAACGAATGACGTTTTCAATCCATTACAAGTAACGATTGATTTTTCTAACTTTGATGTTAGCATTACCATCATAAAAAATTTACAATGTCATTACCAAATCGTTATTATAACAAGGTAACGATCAACAAAGTAACGTGTTACTTTTGCCAACCTTGGGGATTTCTTCGTATACGCTTAGCCGTATTTCTTTACGGTCTCATATATAAAACAAATAAAATTATATTTAAAGATTTTTCATGAAAACAAGTCTAAAACAGAAAATTTAAAAAGAAACCATTCATTGTCATAAACATGCTATATTTCTCTGGACATATAATTTCTATTTCTGTTAATGCAGATAAACTTTAATCTCGGTTCAATTTACTCCTCATCTTTTTCCAATTCTAAAGATTAGAAAACGATGAAAAGTAAGTTGAACCGAGATTAAAGTTTATCTACGTTGGAGGAAATATATAGATACAATAGGAATAGGTATAAAAACAAAGTTTTAGACTATGATTAATATTTTTTGAAAATCCATTAAAAAAAAATAAAAACCTCTAGACTTGTTTGGTTTTTGGAAATTTTATATTATTTATCCCATAATATATTCTACATTTATTTCTTTAAACATTAATAATAATAAATGTGAAAAAGGAAATATTAAGTACATGAAACAATAATTTCTTTACATTTTATTTATGAAATGTTAGAAATAGCTCTTAATAAAAACATCCTGTGCAAATGTTAAACTCTTATATTTCTCTGTTTCATTTTTGCCAGAATAAAATTCTTAATGATATGATATAATAGATATTTATTAATAGAGAATGATGGGCATCAGATTAAAAAAAATGGATTTATTTGATTATTGCAGAAAATCCTTTATTTATTATAGATGACCATTCATGCAGAATCTCTCTTTTGACGCATGATTAAAATTTATAATTTAATATATGAATAAAATAAATAGCATTATCAATTATGATATGATTAAAATTTTAATATTTAATTCAGTCAAATTTACAGTTACAATAAATAAATAACAATTTCAATTCATGCAATGATAATCATTGTATTAAAATAATTATTGGAATACAATAAATGTAGCAGCGATACACATATATTACGATATTCAATCATCCGCACGAATTGACAGATAATTACTCATTTGTAACATTATATACGAAATGCAAATTCCACATGACTTCTTCGCGATTTAATGAATTCTTCTTTCAAATCCTAAATAAGCGTCATTATCTCGTTACACGAACTTGAAATCTAACGGTTAACCCGATGCTGTACCTATAGAAGACATGGGAAAGCATCCATGCAAGGATGCTTTCCATCGCCTTAGTTTTATGCCATGAATCTGCTAGTGAAACCGAATCGTGACGTGGCCGCCTTTGGTTCCTACCCGCACTCATACGATCCGATGCATCCAAGCGCCGATGCTACATCGGATCGGTAGGGTAAAAGATCGAGAAGTCAACAGTGGAATCGTGCTTGAGCAAGGTGAAAGGTGAAAGTCGTACCTAGTGCCGGTTAGAGGGACGTATAGATACCGGCAGGCATGTGCTTACTTTTACACGTGTTCTCCTTGGAACATACCTACGTATACGCATTGCGAGGATCGTCTATCACAGGATCTTTTTGTCGATCGATAAATCAGATAAATTAATGTGCTTTTTCTCCTTTGTTTGTTTCGTTGATCAATAACGTTGTAGATTTTTAATTTTCTGAAATTTTAGTTCCATATTTGAATTGGCCAGATAGAGATACTTAGCTCCGCAAAATTCTAATTATTTTTGCTTCTTTGAATTTTTGATTTATCACGTGTTTTTTTATTTCATTCCGCACATTTTTTAGCCGGAGATTTTTATTTTATAGCAACCGATGCGTGTACGCGACGATTTTCTTGAGTCTCACGATAGACATTAAATTATGAAAATAAGTATGAGAAAGAAATTTGTGATAATTATACCAGGAGATTGACTCGGTTACACAAGTCAGAGATTCCAATTAGGTTTAATCAATTACAAATACATGTAGAGAATGTGATGGCAAGATAAACCATTAAGATAACCCGATTTACATGAAAACAAATTATCTTATAGCAATAGAGGAGAAGGTAGTATTACTATGGCCCCTCATTATTATTTATATTTTATACAATAACTTCGTTAATAATCAATATTTAAATTTAAAACTTAATGATTGCATTAGTCAAAGTGCAGTTCAAACGATTTTAGACTCAAAAATATGAAATATTTATTACTTTAAATATTATTTATAAGAATATAGCAACACTGCATAATGACTCAAAGAGAAAGAAGACAGAAGTGGTAATATGGTCCTCTATAAAAATTAAAATTTGATTCTGTTTAAAAAAACAGTATTGATTACAAAATTATTATATTGTATTTATAAAAAAATAAAATATTGTAGAATGTATGCAAATAGATAAATATACATATATACAATTTTTTCCGTTCTACTCAGTACTAAAAATTTATAGTATCTATATAATGTGAACTACAGATTAGAATGTAGTGCTGCAATCGACTTATTGAATAATTATTTTTATATGAAAACCTCGAAAATAAAAGAGTCAGTAATTAGTATGCTTAGGGAGTTATATCGTTTAATGTTACAAAATACGCTCGAGTTTAAGAAGAACGAAGAAATATGTATAATTAAATGCAAAAGTGTACTTTAAAAAAATGCTTGAAAGCAAAAATAGATTATAATATGCTAGCTGTTATGTATTGGCATAATAGCGTTATAATGTAAGGGAGGATTATAGAACAAATGATTTTATAAATACGATTCAATAAATAATCATTAGAATTCGTTATCTAATAGCGGAGATATTAAGAAGAAACATTATATCTAGAAAGGCCATAGTACCACCTTCTCTTCTAATTTCGCAGCAATATTCTCGAGTGAAAAATATGACAATGCGAAAGCGACATATTTAACCTGTTAACTCTTAATTTGGACATTACACAATAGTAGATTACGTAGTACAATCTTTTTTAATAAAGAACTTCTACAAAAAAAGAGGAGTAATTGCTCTCCATTTCATTTCCTATTTATCACTTCTTGATATCTTCTTGTATTTCTTAGCATTAAATGTGCACAAAATCTAATTTTTTTGTTTTTCTAAAAAGAAAGTAGTTATATAAATAAGTGGCTGAAGTTTCAAAGACTCCATCATCTACGCTGAAAGAATGGTTTTGCTGAATTATCTAAAAATTTAGCTAGATACATATATGAAAATAATTTTGTTGGATTATTAAAATAATTATATAGAACGGCTTAAGCTGGTGACAATGATGCAAAAAGTTTTAACATTCTAGCAACCAAGCAGAGCGTTCTATATAATTATTTTGATGGTCCAAGCAAAATTATTTGCTAAATTTTTAGATAATTCATGACTTCAGCAAAACTGTTCTTTTCGCGTACAATTGAGGGTTAAGGTTGATGAAAATCGCCATTGATAAACGTCACTCCTATTATATCTGAGAAAATTATATTTGTCATCGCTTTTATTCAG